CATGTTGTTGTGAGGCTGCATGTTGTTGTGAGGCTGCATGTTGTTGTGAGGCTGCATGTTGTTGTGAGGCTGCATGTTGTTGTGAGGCTGCATGTTGTTATGAGGCTTCATGTCGTTGAGAGACTTGCGCCTTGCGGATCTTCTAGGCGGATCTTTGTTTTGTGAGACTTGCGCCTTGTGACTCCGCTTAGTCCATTGATCTTTATGTTATGAGGCGTGCACATGGTGACCCGCTTGGTTTATAAATAGCGGATCCCGATGCGGATTGTCGATCTCATTCTGGATCGCGCATTGATGCCATCATCCCCCGGGATGTTTCACGAGTTTTGGAGCTGGGTTTTGACTGCGCCTTCGACCTTGGATTTGCGACGGCAATCATCATCCTTCTCTGTCCGATGATTTCGCCAACTCTAGGCCTGGCTGTAGAACTTTGGCCGTGGTCTCGGTGTCTGCGTGAGGATTGTCCGTGGGCGAATGCCCGCCTGACTTGGTGATATCATCGTGAGGTTGACTGCCGTTGTCCACTGTCCACAGTCCTGCTCTTGTTCCTCTTCCCACCCGCGAGCCATTTCCTTTTTGTCTCCTGCCATTCAGGTACCTCCTCCTCTTCACGGTCACCTATTTCGACGACTTGAGGCGGAGAGGGGGGGGGGGGGGGAGGGAGGGAGGCTCGGCATCGACTCTGATTGAAGGCCCGCTGGAACCGGTCCTCCTGCTGGTGGGCTGACTTGAACCCAAGTTGGTCGATCCCGTGCTTCTATCAAGCTCAGGCAACTGAATGCGTCCGTGGTTATTCGATCAGTGATAGCCGAGTCAATCTCCAAACCAAAATAGGCACGGCAGGTTCTGCCTTCTGGACATTGTTTTTTCACAGGTGTGCATAGAGCCTGGGCGGGGGGACTCTCTTTACTTTTTTGCTGCTATCCTATTGTTCCGCCTCTTCACGTCCCTGTCCCTCGACAGGATGGCTCCAAGTCGAGCACGGGTGTAACAGTAGAGATGTATGCCGGCAGTGAACATGACGCGCGATCTGCCTGATCGTAGCTATCCGTCAGGATCTGGCTCGGCTCGCTGTCCACAACAAGAGTCGATTGTGTTTCTGATACTCTTTCTTGAAGGATAATTTGGGCCTCACTTCCGTTGGCATTGAAACTCTTTCGCTCCGTAGCCGGTACTTTATGAACTCGATCTGGTGTCGGCCGAACGTTGATTACATCTTTGTAGCTGCCTCTTCAAGCCGTCGTCGACTGTGTATTCCGCCCTTTGAAGGACCCCGCTGAAAGATTTGCTAAGCCTGTTGCAGTCCCCCTCGGGCCGATGGATGAGAAAGATGGTAACCGTTGGCATCGATGAGGGAGCGAATGAATTCATGGATTGGCTTGAGGGTGGCGACCAGGCAAAGTAATCTTCGGACTCTTCGCCCTTGTTTGTAGTCTCACACCAGCTGTAGCACCTTTCGTCAGTCAGACCTGGCATGTGGTATTGGAGCATACTTACATACTCTTCCTCAACAGGTTCAGCAGTATCTCCTGCTCAAGCATGTTTTCATCATTCCAACGACGGCTATCTTCCTGTTCGCCATCTCGGCTTGAGGACAGCTCTCTCGACGGTGCTGATACTTCATGACGCCGAGCTACCCGTCCTACTTGAGGATAGGTGAGTTGAATACCGCGGCATGGTGGTGATGTGAGAACCCTTTGAATGGTCATCTTTCAACCATTGAAGCCTTGGGGGGAGGGGTATCGAGGTACGGGTAACATGGGGACCGACGTGTTTGTGACGGCTGCCCCATGTATGGTCCATGGTGATGAGAACTAGGATCCAATGTCACAGGTTGAAGGTAAATGGTGTTCACGACTATGCGTTTGAAATTTCGATAGAATTCAGTACGGATGAGAACAAAACTAGGTGTTGTTAGACGGCTCAGAGGCCTCTTGCGCGGCGTTCTCCGCCCGACTGTCTTTACAAGCCGAGACCTAGAACTAGTCTCAAACCGCTCCTTTTACAGCCCCGTCCAGGCGCTCATTTTTCACTTCGCGGGCCTGTTTTACAGGTGCTTGCTTGAGGCAAACCATGACGTCTAGCATTCACATTCCCAAGAAAATAGCCTAGAGAAAGTCATCGAGGTCAGACTCGACAATACATCATATTAGACCCCCCTATAGGAGTCAAAATACCCAGAGGTTGAGCCCCGTCTAACAGGTGTTGAGGCCGCAGCGCAGTGTTGTGTGTGCGCAGGCCGAGGTAATGCCCGAATAGAACCAGTGCAACAGTGGACAGGACTAGGGACATGATCAGAATCGTGACAAATGGTCGTTGTAAGGCATCTCTGTGGGTGAGGCAGAAGAGCGTGAGGTGAGCAGGTTGAGAAGCAGCGCGATGGCAGAAGTCAGCTTTCGGCAGTACGGGGTAGGTCAGAGGAGATTTCCAATCGTAGTTGAATTCGGTCCTACTCACAACCCATGATGACACTACCACCGCAAACACCACCGTCGCAAACGCCATCGCGCCTCTATGGATGGTCAGATTCGACGCTCCTACGGGGTAGTTTGTCTTCTGCCCCGGTAGTCGCCGACCCGGGCGTCGACAGCGGTGCCTTTTTCAGAATAAACCCGTGATAGTCGAAGGAGCTGCCCGAACCACCTAGGACGTCCACCGTGATGACCCAATCCACTCCTTCACAATTGAGGAGAGGCTTTATGAGGTGAGGCTGGCGGTATGTCACATAGAGAAAAGCAGAGTCGGGCTTGAGGACACGAAAGACCTAGCGGGGCAGAAGTTAACTCGCACGGTGGTGCAATCTGTGGCGAAGCATCGGAACGTACCTCCCGGATATAACGGCCAGTGTTGTCCCGAACCTCATCGGGGGGGTCCCAAGGGCTCCCGTGTATCATGGCATCCAACGTCCCTTTGTCAAAGGCAACATCCACGGATTCGGAGGGGATCTGATCCAGCTGGCGCACGTCGGCGTGCATCCAGGTGATGCCCTCCAGATGGCCGTGTTGTTTGGACATGTTGTTCACGATGACCGTGGAGAAGTCGACGCAAACTTGATTCCTGTAACCTTTCCTCCAAAGATCTTCGGGTATCGTCTGAGTGGGCATTTTAGCCCTTGTCATTTGGCAATGACCACTCGTCATGGAAAGACACTACGTACGCTGTCCCCGGATCCAAGGTGAAGGATTTGTGGAGCCGTCTCTGGTGCTCGGACTTGGAACAGATTGCGGCCCAGGAATGACTCGAGGTCGTTGAAAGACCTGAACCACTCATGGACTTGTTCATCAGGGCCGACTTGGCCATAGCGCTCGTCCCAGTATTCAGAACGAGCTAACCGCTTGGACTCGGCCTCCGACATTGTGGTCTTGAAACAAAAAGGTTCGAAATTTCCGTTTCCTGGAGGCGACAGCAGATTGAGGGCGAGTTGACAAAAAAAATGATGAGGCCCTGACTCGCTGCTTTTGACAGTGACTTAGTCATTCCTGAAAACAGCCAGTTATTATCTCCCCTGTACGAGAAATAATTCATCCAGAGTAATTCAGAGACGACCCCTCACAGCCCATGCCATCTTTGCGGGGAGCACAAATGACGACGTTGACCATCTCTGAAGCGGTAAATTCTGACGATGAGGGACTGAGGATATTCGTCGCCACGTTGAAGAAGCAGCTCGAGTCATGCGTGAAAATGAATGAAGCGATAGGTATATGCTCGTTTCGTTGAAGGGGCGATTGATTCGGATGTGCATGATCTCTTTTCGATTCTGTCGACGGAGGAGATGCTGACCTGAGTTCGTCGAGTTCGGTGCCCTCATTCATCTTCTTGTCTCCCCAGGGGATTGGATTCATGGTGTGTAGGTCTTTGGCTGTGCGTAGAGGATACTCTATGAGAGAGAAGAGTTCCCATGGATTGTTGACAACGGCACGGCGAGACTGGTCGTCGCCACTTGAACTTGTGCCTCTTTGCCTGTCACTCGCAGGAAACTTTTCCCGGCGTGCCAAAGACTCATTTTACCCGTTCCACACGTCCCAGCCCTTGGAGCGAGTAGATGACTTGACCATCGTTCTGCAGGACCCCGAACCGGAGGCATCGCCCGCCTCGCTCTAGTTGCTGCTCATCACGAAGATCACCTCCCCAGCTTCCTCTCCGGTGCCTGATTGCGATGGAACGGCTTGTCGGCGACATTGGAGAAAGAGACACAGGACATTTTGACCCAGGGGACTTTCTCTTTCAGATGGTACTGTTCGCACTCGAATAGAAGTCTGATCAATCTTTGGATTGGCACTCGCGGCAGTATGGTGGATGGGATACCCGCAGAGAAGACCATGTCCAAAGCAGGTTCATCCAAAACATCTAAAGGTAGGGCCGCAAAGAAGCTTCACGGTGTTGCATGGACCAGTAGATGGACTAGGACAACGTAACAAGACAATCCACGGCATGAGGCTGCTGGCAAGGAATCAAACACCTGTCTCCTTCTCGAAGCCGAGATAGTGTCATGGAAAGATCTGTCTCTCCTCGCAGGGGGAGGGTCTCCTTGGTGACGACAGGCCTGACAGAGAGCATCGTTGTACCTATTCAGCCGGCTACCATCTGGCTCGCCGCAGGCAACCAACAAGGCGAGCACGTATTCGAATCGACGCAGCGCAAGCCCCATATGAAAAGTGTTGTCGTCAAGCTCGTTCTCAACGGTGAACCTGGAAGCTAGCTTCAGAATTCCCAGGAGGTTGTCGAAAAGGCAGCACACCTTTGCCAATGGCGTCTCTCTCAGAATGCAGTGATCACTTATAGATTGCAGTGTGTGACCGTATCTGGTGGCCGGTGAGTTGCAAGACTTCGAATGGGCATCTGCCAGATAGTACGGTGTCTGTCCAAACACATCCGGCGAGCATGTTCCTGATCTCTTCGGCTTCCTTCATCGAGGGTATTCAGGTTTGGCCGAGGAAGTGTAGGTAGTCCTCGAGTTCCCTCGACAAGGAATGGTCCTGGACCGAAGCTTTTCCCGACCGAAGAGTGAGGAGAATGTCGGCGTCTTGGTCAACCAGTGCCTGCACAGAATCGATCTTGTGCTGTTCGCAACAGGCTTTCGTACGGCGTTGCTAGTACCCGTGTACTCTGCGGGAGTCTCGTGTCAACATCGTCGTGGCGGCAAACCATCGAGGGGGGGGGTGCCAGGCAAATAAAGGGCGTGACGACCGAGCCGAGACGAATGTTCGACGCTCCTCAGAGGATACAAAGTGCACCAAAGTAACAAGTGAGTTGTTTTTGGGCTGGTGGTGCTGTTGCGTGCGATGCGCACCAAGTCCGGGAAGTACAAAGGCAAAAGGGCCAAAGGGCAAGGTTCTTGGGGGCAAAAGTCCAGTGTGGCAGAGTCAGTGGGCAGTGGGTGACACTCACAGCGGTGACGGGGAACTTTCTGGGGGGCCCAACAGTTATTATTGGGGGGGCGAGGTGTCCCTAAGTGATAATTATTGGGGGGGGCAAACTAACTCCTACGGGCGTGGCATGTCCCCAAGTAGTAATTATCGGAATGATGGATGTGATGGCTTTAGTAATTATTATTGCCATCGCTATGGGAAATGATTACTCTGTGATTACTCTGTAATCATCAGCTATCGAAATCATCACTATGAACATACCATCATACCGACATGTAGAATTCCTCCTCTGCCATTTTTGCTGCTCTCCCAGGCTTGCTCGAAAACAACAAGTCATAATTAACTTTTGTGATGATGTACAAGGTGCAGTCCAGCGCCGACCAAACACCCCATAACATGTACTCTTTCGATACTCATTTGATATTCCTTTGATAGTCCTTTGATACTCTTTCAATACCCCTTTGATACTCTTTCGATACTCTTTCGATACTCTTTCGATACTCTTTTGATAGTCCTTTGATACTCTTTCGATACTCTTTTGATAGTCCTTTGATAGCCTTCTGATAGTCCTCTGATCAAAAGTTGAAAACTCATAGACACTTCTTCGAACAAAGACTGGATTCCTGTGAAATGTCTCAATCAACGCGACACCAGGCCCCGTTACGTCGCACCACGTTAAATCGCCCTGCCTGTCTCTGCTGTATTGGTGTTATTGGCTGGTTGATGTGCGTCCCTGTGCTCACCGCTGGTGGTTCTCGTGCCTGCTGCTGCACCGGGGCCCCGCCGTCAGTGTCATAATCCGCCGCAGATGCATAAACTGCCCCGGAGGAAGAGGAAGTGGCTGCAGAACCAGAATTTGTCAGGCCACGCCAACCGGCACTCAAATAAGAGCGATCAGCACTGGCGGTGAGCTCGTTGGCAGCATGGATGGCATGATCGGCAGCGGTGGCAGCACTAGGATCGCCTCTAGCGTCACCAATACCTGCAAGAACGAGACGTGCTGCAGTGATAATGGCACAATCGACGGCGGCACGTGCATCGTCGCCGCCGCCGTCGCGGGCGAGGGCGGCAAAGCCATATGCGGTGACGACAGCACCAACGGCGGCAGTAGAAAACTCTCTTCTGACGGCACACCCCTGAGTTGCTTGGGAATATGCCCTGGCGGCGATAGCGACATCAAAACCACCCCGCTCGAAATTGCGAATCGCCATTGTGATTTGCGGTGGGTACATAGGAACCCAAGGGTCATAGGAGTGGATCATAGGTCTCATGATGCGTATCGCGCCGTTGGGCTTCTCCACGGGCACCCAAGGCGCTCCAAAGATGGCGTGCACCCGCTGCCACGTGTCCTCGCGAGGAGGGATGTCTTCAGGTCTAGGGAGGTTGCCCATCAGCGTCTGAATGACTGGCTGGAGATTGCTACCGAGCCTTGAATCCTCTTGTTGTCCCCGATGTTGTTCAATGGTTGGTGGGAGAGTGGCATTGTTCATCGTGTCGTATTGTCCCAATTGCTGCTGCTGAGCGGCATGTGGACCGCCGGGGGGAGGAAGCTGAACAGGATTACCAGTAGTTGGCGCAGTACCACCAAGAAGCTGGCCATAGCCATTGTGAGGTCCTGTCCATTCAGACGGATTATCCATCATGAAGGGGTACCGTCGTTGACCGCTAGGAAGCTGCCCATACACGTCGTGGGGGTGGCGCATACCGAATTGTTCTGTATCAAGCTCCACATGTCGAGGTCGTGGTGGTGGAGGCGGATTCTGCTGACGTGTTTCCTCAGGCTGCGGCGTCAAAAATGGATCTTCGAGTGTCGTCGAACCAGTACAAAAAGCAGAAGCATGATGATTGGCCGAAGTAGAATCGGAAGGAAGCCGCACGCCCCCAGATGACAAAGCAGGAGAAGTACCAGAAAAACCACCGAGTGGAAGCGGATGTTCTGTCGATGGAGGATCCTGCATGCCCAATGGTCCTGCACCAGTAGGAGTATGGCGAAGCTGCTGATGCATGGCTTGATCATTCTGCATGGTCGATGGTGCTGCAACAGTAGAGGATGTATGACTGGACGGTAGCAGCACGCCACCGCCGGAAGAAGGGGTGGTATCTGAAAAACGACTGGGGGGTTGCTGCTGATAGGCCCACGGAGGGGGAGTTCCCCCGCCCAGTTGCTCAGCGCTACCGGGAACAGGGGTATAGTCTGGATGAAGAAATTGCCTGTCGACTTGTGTTGTGGCAGTGGGAAAAGGCGTATGGCCTGCAAAGCGATATTGCAAGTCTAAGTCTTCTGCACTAGCTGGAGAAGGAGTATGGACGAGTAAAAGCTGCTCTTGAGGTGTCTGGTGAACATTTCGAATGGCTGGTTGTCCTGACGGAAAAGAAGTACGAGCGACAGGAGGAGTACCATCATCAAGATAACAACGAATGACCGAGGAAGCGGTACTGCCAGGAATAGGGCCTGGATGATCACGCTGTGGGGTTTTGTAGACATTCTGAATGCCCAATTGTCCTGTGGGAGAAAGAGTATCGCCAGGCGGATGAGAAGTAAGCCCAGGTAGATGACCATGGGTAGCAGAAGACGTGGAGGATCCTGGTACACGACGACCAGGACGATTTTGTTCAGGTGTTTCTTGTTGATTCTGCATTCCCAACTGCGCTGTGGGAGAAGGACTGTGGCCTGGTGGAAGTGGCATGTCGACTTGTCCTGCACTAGCTGAAGAAGTATCGCCGGCCGGAGGGGGAGTCACCTGAGGAAGACGACCACGCACAACAGAGGATGTTGCTGAACCCGGGACGTGATACTCAGGATATTCTTGCTGATGCACTTCTTGATCATTCATCTGTATGCCAAATTCTCCTGCATGGAGCTCAAGTCTGTTGATGTTTGGAAGACCTCCGGTGGATGAGAAAGAGGAGGAAGAGGAGAATGACCCTCTTGGACCAGGCAACATGTTGACGATGTTTGTCGTTGCAAACAGTGATCTGGTTCTTCAATTTTTTTCTTGTTTTCTTTTTTAGAATAGCAGCAAAGAGTGTGCGGTTTGAAAATTAAAATCTAGTACATGGTCAGTCAGCAATGAGCACCGTCGAGTACAAGGGTCTGGTAATAGGAAAGTGAGGATGATGGAACTAACCTTTGAATGAATGTTTCAGGGACGACAACAAGTGTTCAATGTGTTGGTTCAGAATTGAATTACCACGAGAACATCTAGTACAAGGTGGTCAGTAACGAGGACCGTCAACTACAAGAGTCGAGTGGGGAAGGGAAGTGAGTACGATGGGACGAACCTCTGATTGAATGATTGAATCCTGCATCGCAGGCCTGCATCAGATTGTGTTTTTCTTCGCCAGTGTTGTCGTGAAAAAAGAGGAAGAGAGAGAGAGGAAGAGAGAGGGGAAGAAGCGAGAAGTATGAGGACCGCCAAGCCCGAGCAAAGTGAGGAAGGAGTGTGCTGCCGGGTACTAGTAGGAATCTGAGGAAGTAGGTCTGCCGAGCATTATAAACTGCGGAAGGAGGACTGTAATCGAGCGTCGAATAGACCGGGAGGAGTGTGGTGGAAGGAAATGAGGATGGAGGAGTCAACCTCTTTTGAGCCTTCCAGTCCTACAAAGGACTGCTCAAAGAATATTCAAGAGAGTGTCGACAGAGATGTTGAGAAGGAGATCGAGGATCGTATTGTGAAGCGTTTGGACCACAAGTTGGTGAACATTTTCCGCAAGGATATTGCTCGCTAGACTGTTGACGATGCTTTCGAGTAGTGTGTCAAGAAACGTACTGCTGTAGGTGTTTTGACACACTATCGAAAGGACTATCGACAACAGGATCGCGCAGGAGTGACGAAAGGAGCCTTCACCCTGGAAAATACTATTGTACAGGATGAGGGTGTAGAGGATCGAGCAGATCAATCTCAAGGTCGTCGTCATGAAGCTGCTATCGTGAAGGGTGTCTTGAGGAGGTCTTGGCACTACAAGATTGTTGCAGCAACAAGAGTACGTTGAATAGTATCGTAAACGAATACTCTCTTGGAGATGTCGCTTGCGGGAGGAAACGAGTATCGAAACAGATCCATGGGAGAGAAGAAGGGCTCAAAAACGACAGGGGAAGGGAGATTATATGCCTTTTTTTTGATGAGACAATTCCCAGCCTTACCGGCCCCCATGCAAAAAAAAGGTGAAGCGGTCAGGGTATACCGGACTAAGAAGCTCAACAATCCATTGGCCCCAGTCCGTACCAATGAAACCCAAACTCTTGTGAGCCTCGGTATTTTCCCTCCGTGACACAAAGAGGTAAGTTCAGAAGGATGCGTAGGCCCGAAACATGCCTAACTTGGGCGTCGTTGGCCGCCTGTGTTATTGTTAGATGACATAGTTCCTGACACGTTCATTATATAACTACCTACCTAACTAATTGTCCATGGCAGCACTGCTCGGTGTACAAGTGCGTGTTGACTGTTTTGAGTATTGAGTGGTTGCAAAGCCCCTTTCCGAATGGGTTTTGTTGGATGTTGTGGTTGCAAGTTCTTCCCGAGCACTGAAGGAAGGACGTTCTGAGCCCTTCTATGGTGTTGTTAAGCTCGTATCGTAGTGTGATGTGGTGTGTGCGCGCACAGGCCGAGGGGCGTCAGTTTCTCGAATCAGGTCCATGCATGTGCGACGACAATAATCAAACAACTAGGGCAGCACTAGTCACACATGATCAGACAGGATCCTGACACTCTTCGAATGGGTATCTTTGAGATGTGTCAAGGTATGATTGTAAAGTCCTTTTCCGAAGGGTCTTTTTGGGCGTGGTGGTGATGATTATGGTTGTAGTGTCCACGACCATGCTTGCGTTCTGAATCAGGACCAAAGGGATTGGGTAGTACTGAAGAACAGGACGTTCTAAGTCCCCTTGTATAGTATTGAGAGGCTGCAGCGTAGTGTTGTGAGGCCGTAGCGTAGTGTTGTGTGGTGTGCGCGCGCGCAGGTCAAGAAGTAACTCCTCAACAGGACCGACCAATGTAGACCACACCAGCAAGTAGATAGTATCATTCGCATGATTACAGTAGGAGCCTGACACCCTTCGATTGGGTATTTTGAGTGTTGTGATGATTGTGAGTTCTTTCCAAATGGTATTTTGAGTGTGGTGGTGTCACGACTATGCGTGCGTTTGAAACATGACCAAAGAGCTTAGACACTGTCGAAGGAATGACGAGGAGGCCGCAGCGTAGATCGAGACACCTACGAATAGGACCAGTGCAACAACAATAACAACGACAACAACAACCAAACAACCAGGGCAGCTCACTAGTCTCACATAATCAGGTAGGATCCTGATACTCTTCAAATGGGTGTTTTGGGTGTTGTGATGATTGTAAGATATCTTCCGAAGGGTATTTTTGAGAGTGTGTCAAGTTGTAGCAAGTCCTTTCAAGAGGGTATTTCAGATGTTATGGTTGTAAAGTCCTTCTCAAAGGGTGTTTTGAGTATTGACGCAAGATAAGCAATTCCGAGTCTTTTTCAAATGGTCTTTTGAGTGTGGTGGTGATTGTGGTGTCACGACCATGTATGCGTGCGTTCTGAAACATGACCAAAAGAACCAACTCGGTAGTATTGAAGGAGGGCATACATCTAACCCCTTGTATGATGTTTCAGATGCCGTAGTGGCGCAGTGTTGTGTGTATGATGTGCGCGCACATAGGTCGAGGCACTCACGAATAGGACTACTGTAACAGCAGCAGCACCAACAACAACAAGGTAACACTAGTCACATGCGATCAGGAAGGATTCTGAACACTCTTCGGATGGGTATTTCTGGTTGCAAGTTCTTTCTGGTACAGAAGGAAGGTCGTTTCAAAACCCTTGTACAGAGTTAAGGTGTTTGATGAGGCCCCAGCGGCGCAGTTTCATGTGGTGTGCGCGTCACACAGGTCGAGGCACTCAAGAATAGGACTAGACCAGTGCAACAACAATCAACAACGACAAGACAGCACAAGTCACACATGATTAGGGAAGAATCCTGACACTTTTCGAATGAGTATTTTTGGATGTTATGGTTGCAAGTTATTTCCGAGTACTGAATGGGAGAGAGCCATTCTAAACCCCCTCCGTATGGTATTGAGAGGCCGTAGCGCGATGTTGAGAGGCCATATCGTAGTGTTGTGTAGGTGTGAGTGTGTATGCGCGCGCGTAGGTCGAAGCGCAGCCCGAACTACGATTAGGACCGGACCGTCAAAAGTGGATGATGAAGCATTCTCAACCTCTCCATGGTCCCAGCTCTTGGTCATGGGTATATAGTTAGATATCCTCCTTGGCCTTATTCAAGGAGGACAGAGATTCTTTCACCCTTGGTTTTACATTCATACCTTTGACACGGGTCAGTACAGTAACAACATCAACAACCAGGCATCGCTGAACACTTTTCGAACGAGTATTTTTGGATGTTGTGGTTACAAGTTCTTTCTGAATACCAAAGGGGAGATCCATGCCAAACCCTCTTGGACAGTATTGAGAGGTCATAGCGCAGTTCTCGTGTTGCTCTTGTGTGTGTGTGTGTGTGCATAGGTCGAGGCGTAACCCGAATAGGACCGAATCAGTGCGACAATAATAACCAAATGACCAGACATCCTGAACATTCATCGAATGGGTATTTTTGAATGTTGTGATTGCAAGTTCTTTCCAAGTTCTGAAGGGGAGAGGACTGTTGTTCTATACCCTTGTATAGGAGTTATGGTGTTTGAGAGACCGTAGCGCGGTGTTGTGTGTGCGCGCGCGCAGGTCGAGGCACTCATGAATAGGACCGCTGTAACAGCAGCACCAACAACAACAAGGTAACACTAGTACACACATGATCAGGAAGAATTCTGAACACTTTTTCGAGTGGGTATTTCTGGATGTTGTGATTCCAGGTTCCTTCCGAGTACTGAAGGGGGAGAGGACTGTTCTTTCAAACCCTTGTATAGGGGTTATGGTGTTTGAGGTGGCCGCCGTAGCGCAGTGTCATGAGGACGCAGCGTAGGGTCGTGAAGGTCGTAGTGTAGTGTTGTGAGACTGTATCGCAGTGTTGTGTGTGTGCACGCGCGCGCGCAGATCGAGGAGCAGTTCCTCAATAGGACCGGACCAGGGCAAGAACAATATGACAACCAAGCAAACCAGGGCAAAGCGCACCAGTACACACATGACCAGGTCCCCAGGATCCTGAATACTCTTCGAATGGGTATTTCTGGACATATGTCGAGTCATGGCTTGCAAAGTCTTTTCTTTCCGAAATGGGTACTTCTGTCGGGGTGTCCACATTCGCACGCGTGTGAAGTCCCCATGTTCTCGGGGCCGGGCTGTTGCTCTGAATCTCCGCGTGGGGAGAGGGGAGGGGGGCCGCGTCGCCGGAGACGACGGTCGTAACTGGTATGGGCCTGGCCTGTGCACACCGGCGAGGTTTGACACGAATATTACTTCTTTGCATGCAAGATCGAGCGAGCAGAGACAGAGGGAGAGGGAGAGAGAGAGAGAGAGAGATTGGAGCTACTGAGGATCTGTTTGCCGGAGCGTAAATCGTAAGGTATGATGATTGATGGTCGTACCGGTACTGTGCCAGTGAATCCCTAGGGTCCTTTTGAGAGAGTAGTATTTCCATTTCGGGTGTTGTGATGATTGCAAGTCCTTTCTGAATGGTATTTTTGAGTGTGGTGATGGTGTCTCGACCATGGGTGCGTTCCGAAACAACGAGCCAAAAGAATGAACTCGGCAGTACTGAAGGGAGAAAGGGCGTTCTAAAACTCCTGTAAAGTAACAGAGTCATGGTGTTTTTGAGAGACCTTATCGCGGTGTTATGCGTGTGGTGTGCGCATCGCACAGGTTGAGGCACTCATGGATAGATAGGACCGAGCCAGTGCAACAATAGCAACCAAATGACGAGGTACCTCGACACTTTTAGAATGGGTGTTTTGAGTGTTATGAGAGTTGCAAGTCCTTT